ATTCTGCAATCAGTAACCCAAAGGTGTGCTCAAGTAATAACCTGCGGTTAAATCATGCCCTCCAGCTGACTTTTGAGAGTTCCCAAACTTCATGTAGCCAGGATCAAATCAGCCCTGGTGGGAGAGAGATAAATGATGGAGATAAAATTCCAGCAAAAGCAAGTTAATAACCCCACCGAAATAATAATTAGGCGAGTTTAAAAGGAAATGATGCAGCACTTTGAAGTCTGATCAACTTTTAATGTCCCATCAGCCTCCTAACCCATGGTTGCCCTTTAGTGTCTGAGTCTTGATTTTCCACATTTTGCCCTTTGATGATGGAGGCTGATGTGTTACAGATTAACAGGAGGGCGGGGAGGGGGAGCGCCTCCAGTCCTCGGAAACAGCTACAGGTCTGATCCCAGGAACCACTTTCCTTTCTCGGGGCTTGTCTACACGGGGAACTGCAGAGAGAGGGCAAGGGAGATGGGGAATCACTTTCCTGTAGAGTTAGAAGAGAGATGATAGAGCTAAGGAAGAAAGACGTAGGGAGCGGGTGGGGAAAGACAGAAAAACACCTGCAGTGCACATTGAATGTACTCCCAATCCCAGACCCGGCATTTCTCTCCTGTGCCCATCTCTGCTCCTTCCATTTCGCTTTTGTTGCCTGGCTGGAAAACACAATAATTATTTACCCAAGGCGCATCAAATTCCCGCTGGAGTTCTAACCCCTTCCGCCTTCAGGATATGCCCCCTCCAACCTCTCCGTTACCAATCCGGAGCCCGCCTCATTTCACACCGTCTCCAGAGTTTTGCCGTTGCTGTTAAAATCGAATCAATCCCGAATTGTTTTCACTGGTAACTTTCATTAGATTTGAAGCCGATCGGTCCTTTTTTATTTTTATTTTTATTTTCTCGTCTAACTAACGGGTTCCCCCCAAAGAAACACTCATTTCGCTCAGTCAAGACAGATCAAAACTAGTTCCGACTTCACCCTGGAGAAATGCAACCGGGGAGGAGAAAAGGGGCCCCTTTCTTTCTTTAATAAAAATGGGTCCCGTAGACTTTCTAGCCTGTCTCTGATTTTCTAAAGAGCGGCTCTCTCTGGCAGTAGAAATTCCGCGTGAAATAATGGTCCTTTCATTGGTTACGCCAGAAAAGGTGGCAGATCTGATTCCGAGGCAGGTGACTTGAATAAGAATCCATCAGAAAATCCCAAGCAGAGCAGAGATGATGTTGATGATTTATTTTATTTGCAGTTGTTTTCCCTCCTCGGTAGCCGGGGAAACTTCCACCACACAGGCAAGCCGCCCTGCGAGGGGTTTATGGATTGATTGGTTTTTAATCGCGCCGGGTAATAACCCCCTGTTTGCAAAAGGAAAGTGAAGTGATTTAGTACTGGGTTTAAACAGCAGCGCCTCTTAAACGGTGTCAAGTCCGCTGCATCAGGGCACTGAGCGAACTGAAATTGACATAGCCGTGACTGCTCAGGGGTTTTCCCCCCTCCGGAGAAGGTGGCTATCTCGGAATGACAGAAATAATAAACACGATCTGAGCGACTCGCTGTTAGCTTTCGGCGACCCGAATCGTCTCAGGGCACATTGGAGCCAGAACCCACTTCGGATCTTCTGTGCGAAGAAACACTCCGTTAAACAGCGATGTATCCTGCAGAAATGACGCCTTTCCCTCTGTTTTAATGGCTCCTGTTAGCCTTGTTCTTTAATGGTTTTACTAGCCTTTAAAAAAAATTACCTCCCGTTTTCTGCCATCCGCAAATTGGGATTTCTCTTGAAAAGCCTAAACTTTACCCTGTGTGCAAAGGATCCCGCCTCCCCCCCGGCTCCCACGCGAGATGGTGGATATGAACTGCTGCAGCGGCAGGAAATTTGTTCCAACGGAAAAGGAGCCGTGTGAACGCTGCAGGAGTGGAACGGCGTCGCCAGGCCGAACTTGATCCTGGTGAAGTCGATTTCAAAACAGAAATTAATCCGAATTATTATGTTAAAAGAGAAAAGCCGGCTGGGCGTGTCTGGCTGGCAGAAACGGAAGATCGATGATTTAGGAATAAGGACCAAATTATTTGCTCAACAACAAAACGGGTGTTGGGAAGCCCCGTTCAAAAGGCTCTGGAAAACCAGGCCGCTATTAAGAATGACAGGTTTTGACACGTAGGCTGAACCTTCTGGGGGTTACCTCTGTGCACATCAAATACAGACAATCTTTTATTTTTAGATTTTCTTCTTTTACCCACCGAGTGTGTTTGCAAAAACAAAACAAAAACCCACCCCGAAATCCCCAAATCCAACACACAGAGCCCTGCCTTCAAAAAATATTTTTAAAGAACTGGTTTTTTTTACACCGGGAAGAAGAATTCTTTGTTTTTACCTTCCCAGTGGATCACTGTGGATCTGAAACCGCAATTCCCTGATTTCTAAAGTGTCTAATTTTACTCTGCCAAAGTAGAAAAGAATTGTGTTTCCCCATGGAGATTTGTCCCAGTGCTCGGGAGGCTTTGAGCTTGAATAAAATAATCTCCGTTCTTATTTCGATAGCCTGCTCACATCCATCTATCGGTCCCGATGAGTCGTTTCAAATCAATATTGGAAAGATCTGCGGGTTTCTGCGTGTGCGCAGGGCCTGGTCCTACACAGAGGTTTGATTCGAACCAAATCTCGGGCAGAGCAATTTTCACTCCCCTTCGCATTCAGCTCGAAGCCCTTTCTCGGGTCTTAAAATCCAATCGACCCTAGTCTCCCCCACACCTCCAGCCCCCCAAAGGCAACGGAACAAAAGGCTCTGGTGCTCCCTTCTATTAATCTAGGGGCCCGATCCCTTTGGTAGCCGGCAGACTCCAGCGTAAAACGCTCTGTGATTTCTTGGGCGTCCATAAATAACCCCCCCTCGGAATAAAGGAGACAGGTGTTTGCTGGCCGCCCGTGCGCGATTAAACCCGCTCGCACCATGCGGGGACCGTTGCTGGTGTCTCCCCATTACAGCGTCTCGGTCTTTCTTTATTTTTCACTCTGTGTTTATTTCTCTTTCTTTGAACCTTCTTCCTGTCCCCAAAGCCAATTCGACCGGCCCGGCCCTACCCCAGCCCCCGCTATTGCGTGTCATCCTTCGTCTCACCTGCAGCCGCATGGATGGGTTTGCCAGGGCAGCGGTTTTGCGCTATTAGTTTGGAGCGGTGTTTTTACGTGTGTGTTCCCCTCCCAGCCCCACTTCGGCCGAAGATGCCCAGAGCAAAAAGAGGGGGGAAAAACCCTAGGTGACTGGGCAGAGATCTTGTTGGGGAAGGATCTGTGTTCGCGGCTGTGTGGTGCCTCGATCGTCCTTCCTGAGGGCCATAGGGATCTCAGGACAGGAAAGCAAGGAGAATAGAAAGGGAGAGGGGTCTCCTCTCCCCCCACTTAGTTCCCCCCCTCCTTAAATAGTCTTAATTTCCAGCAGAAGGAAGAGATCGTAGGTTGCCTGCCTGGCGCATTTCAGCTCACTGGAGTGGAAAATAGACTTTACACCCTCATTGTAGCGGACGCTCCGAAGCAGCCCCCTCCTTCACAGGGTTAACAAAACTAAATCAATGTGCGGACACTGGACTTCTCCAACAGGGAGCCAGACCCAAAACCTGGGGTGAACTCTGCGAGAGAAGGGGTGGAGATCTTACAGCACAGGGGAGCGGGGTAACCACGGCTCGGGGAGTTTGCACCAGCGGCTGGGAATCCACATGGATTTTTTTTTCCACACGCCCCTTTCCCAGTTTTCTCCCTAATTAAAAACATCAGGTGCAAGGGGAGGGGGGTTTGAGTTGGCCGGTGGGGAGATGTCACAAAGCCAAAGCGACCCCATCTTTGAGTTAACGGGGTCAGCAACTAGCTCAGAAAGTCAAGAATAATCAGCCCGACCACAAAGCATGAGTGTACCCCGAGATCTTACTGTCCCGAGTGTCCTTGGGGGTGAGAGATTCACATTTTCATCTGAAAAGAACCCGTCAGAAATTGTCCACCTCTGTAAGAAAGTCAGGCATATCTACTCATCTATCTGCACAGCGTTGATCTTCTTCCTAAATGAGCACATTGCAGGACCTCTGTGTGTGCAACACACACACACACACACATAATGCATGTGTGGAGTGATATGCCAGGGGTTGCTTTTAAACATGGAGCTCAACCCAATCAACAATAATCAATACTACACGTATTTGGAACAGAAGCGCTGAAATAGTCTATTTAAAAGCAAATCAATCAAACAAACAAAAAAGACCCACAAAAAGACACATCACCGCTTCTGAAACCAACATCCTTTCCACACCAGGTCCTTTCTTGCCAGAGAAGAAATAAATCAAATTTACACGGGGAGAAAGCGCCTGGGTTTGCTGTCTGCCGGCTGGGAAGGTGAATCTGAAATCTCTGAAGGAAATCAGGGAGCCCAGAGCTGGCAGGCTGTCGGTGGGTAACATTAGGGCTCCTGCGTGTTGTTTTTAAGGAATTAACTCTGTTCGAAATAATGTGGACGCAGATTAAAAACCTCCTGTTGCTCTCCCGGGGGCTGCGCTGCCCTGTGGTTTTGATCCACTGCGCGTTGGGTTCAAAGTGGATCGAGCGATTTCTCTCCGAGGAGTTAAACAACAAACACACCTGATTGAAAAGAGGAGGGGGGTTAAAATCGACCCCCTCTCCCTTTAAGCAGCTGAGTGGATTTCGAACCCAAAGAACCCACGTGTGTGTGTGTGTGTGTGTGTGTGTGTGTGTGTGTGTGTGTGTGTGTGTGTGTGT